CTTCAATCCGTTCAGAAGTTATGGCTGTTTGAAAATTGGACCATTTTTAGGGAGTTTTTCTCATTTTTCGAAGCGAAGGAATAAGTTTTCGAATATTTTTGGAATTTCTACATATTCTTCATCTAAATACGCGTTGTTTGCCGTTTGAAACATTGAAATCGTCCAATTCGTTCAGAAGTTATGACGTTTTAAAGATTGAAGGGACATTTTGGAGTGACAATTTTTGGCCTGAATTTATATTTTCGTTAAGGAATTTTTTTCTCGAAAATGGTTAGGATTTCGGGGGTATGTCTATTCACCAAAAATGATTGCAATCGACCCCCACAAATAAAAATAATTTTTCCAGAATGATTCGAAATTCTTTTTTTCCGTCGAAAAATTTAAGCATCTACACCCTGTCGACTGTGTTTGAAAATTCGTTTTTAATTTTTAGTAATTTTGTTTGATGCTCTATAGAAAAGTTGTTTAGTACTTTTTCGTAGGTGCCCATGAGACCTACTTCAGAAAAAAGTTTCATTCAAATATATTCACTATTGTAGGAGTTATGGCTGTTTGAAAATTGGACCATTTTTATGGAGTTTTTCTCATTTTCCGGGGCGAAGGATCAACTTTTCGAATATTTTTGCTATTTCTACATATTCTTCATCTAAATACGCGTTGTTTGCCGTTTGAAACATTGAAGTCCTTCAATCCGTTCAGAAGTTATGGCTGTTTGAAAATTGGACCATTTTTAGGGAGTTTTTCTCATTTTTCGAAGCGAAGGAATAAGTTTTCGAATATTTTTGGAATTTCTACATATTCTTCATCTAAATACGCGTTGTTTGCCGTTTGAAACATTGAAATCGTCCAATTCGTTCAGAAGTTATGACGTTTTAAAGATTGAAGGGACATTTTGGAGTGACAATTTTTGGCCTGAATTTATATTTTCGTTAAGGAATTTTTTTCTCGAAAATGGTTAGGATTTCGGGGGTATGTCTATTCACCAAAAATGATTGCAATCGACCCCCACAAATAAAAATAATTTTTCCAGAATGATTCGAAATTCTTTTTTTCCGTCGAAAAATTTAAGCATCTACACCCTGTCGACTGTGTTTGAAAATTCGTTTTTAATTTTTAGTAATTTTGTTTGATGCTCTATAGAAAAGTTGTTTAGTACTTTTTCGTAGGTGCCCATGAGACCTACTTCAGAAAAAAGTTTCATTCAAATATATTCACTATTGTAGGAGTTATGGCTGTTTGAAAATTGGACCATTTTTATGGAGTTTTTCTCATTTTCCGGGGCGAAGGATCAACTTTTCGAATATTTTTGCAATTTCTACATATTCTTCATCTAAATACGCGTTGTTTGCCGTTTGAAACATTAAAATCCTTCAATCCGTTCAGAAGTTATGGCTGTTTGAAAATTGGACCATTTTTAGGGAGTTTTTCTCATTTTTCGAAGCGAAGGAATAAGTTTTCGAATATTTTTGCAATTTCTACATATTCTTCATCTAAATACGCGTTGTTTGCCGTTTGAAACATTGAAATCGTCCAATTCGTTCAGAAGTTATGACGTTTTAAAGATTGAAGGGACATTTTGGCGTGACAATTTTTGGCCCGAATTTATATTTTCGTTAAGGAATTTTTTTCTCGAAAATGGTTAGGATTTCGGGGGTATGTCTATTCACCAAAAATGATTGCAATCGACCCCCACAAATAAAAATAATTTTTCCAGAATGATTCGAAATTCTTTTTTTCCGTCGAAAAATTTCACACCTTCTTGAATTTTTTTCTAGAAAATGGGCAGGATTTCGAGGTTATGTGTATTCACCAAAAATGATTGTAATCGACCCCTGTAACTAAATATAATTTTTTTAATATGATTTGAAATTTTTGAATTTCGTCGACAAATTTCACACCTTCTCGAATTTTTTTCTAGAAAACGCGTATGATTTCTGGGGTATATATAATGACAAAAAATGATTGTAATAGACCCCTGTAACTAAATATAATTTTTCCAAAACGATTTGATATTCTTTTTTTCCGTCGAAAAGTTTCACACCTTCTTGAATTTTTTTCTCGAAAATGCGCAGGATCGCGAGGTTATGTCTGTTCACCAAATATGATTGTAATTGACCCCTGCACCCAAAAATAATTTTTCCAAAACGATTTGAAACTTTTCAATTTTCAGGGTGACCCGACATTATATTTTCAGTAATTAATTTTTTTCTCGAAAATGGTTAGGATTTTGAGGGTATCTCTATTCACCAAAAATGATTATAATTAACCCCTGCAACTCACAATATTTTTTCCAGAATGATTAGAAACTTTTCAATTTAATTTTTTAATAACTTTTTAACGAAGCCTCGATCAAGATTTTCGTTTTATTTTGGCCTCTAGAATCTCCCAACGTTCTCAGTTTTACTTGCAAAACACACTGCCAAAGTGTGTTCGGAAAAATCCAATATTTCATAATAAATTGAGTGATAATTACTAATTATAATTTCACCAAAAAATATCGGTTAATAAATTCAGAGTAAGACGATGCAATTACATTCGACTGTAATACGAAATCGTTATAATTTCAAAAACTTCAAATTTCAAATGTGTCACGTGTTCCGTTGTAGTTGTTCAATCACGCTAAAATTTGGCATAAATGATTCTATTCACTTCATCAAGTGTCACAATATATGAGGGAAAGTCAAAAAAAAAAAAAAAATTAAAAAAGAAATTTTCACCTCTGTAGCTAAGGACCCACCCTATTGAGCACATTAACACATGAGTGTTACATCGTTAGGCATGACTCGAAATAGGTACGTTAATTATTGTGTGTAAGTATAATCGATAGTTTTAGGGTACTTGTTTCGATTTCTGCTAAAAGTCAATGCAAAAAAAATTCAATTTTTTCAATCCCAGAAAGTAGAAAAACAGCTTCAAAGTTTCACGTCCAGTTATACTTGCATTTGGTACATTTCAGCAGGCTATAACTTCGTCAGTTTCTCAAATTTCAATCTAATATTTGGTAGACATATTTTCGAGACTACATACTAAGAGACGATGCAAAGAAAAATTGAATTTTTTAAATCCCACAAGGTAGAAAGGCCATTAGAAAGGCAACTTAAAGTTTCACGTCCAGTTATACTTGCATTTGGTACACTTCAGCAGGCTATAACTTCGTCAGTTTCTCAAATTTCAATCTAATATTTGGTAGACATACTTTCGAGACTACATACTGAGAGACGATGCAAAGAAAAATTGAATTTTTTAAATTTCACAAGGTAGAAACGCCATTAGAAAGGCAACTTAATGTTTCACGTCTAGTTATACTTGCATTTGGTACATTTCAGCAGGCTATAACTTCGTCAGTTTCTCAAATTTCAATCTAATATTTGGTAGACATATTTTCGAGACTACATACTAAGAGACGATGGAAAGAAAAATTGAATTTTTTAAATTTCACAAGGTAGAAACGCCATTAGAAAGGCAACTTAAAGTTTCACGTCCAGTTATACTTGCATTTGGTACACTTCAGCAGGCTATAACTTCGTCAGTTTCTCAAATTTCAATCTAATATTTGGTAGACATACTTTCGAGACTACATACTGAGAGACGATGCAAAGAAAAATTGAATTTTTTAAATTTCACAAGGTAGAAAGGCCACTAGAAAGGCAACTTAATGTTTCACGTCCAGTTATACTTGCATTTGGTACATTTCAGCAGGCTATAACTTCGTCAGTTTCTCAAATTTCAATCTAATATTTGGTAGACATATTTTCGAGACTACATACTGAGAGACGATGCAAAGAAAAATTGAATTTTTTAAATTTCACAAGGTAGAAACGCCATTAGAAAGGCAACTTAATGTTTCACGTCCAGTTATACTTGCATTTGGTACACTTCAGCAGGCTATAACTTCGTCAGTTTCTCAAATTTCAATCTAATATTTGGTAGACATACTTTCGAGACTACATACTGAGAGACGATGGAAAGAAAAATTGAATTTTTTAAATTTCACAAGGTAGAAACGCCATTAGAAAGGCAACTTAAAGTTTCACGTCCAGTTATACTTGCATTTGGTACACTTCAGCAGGCTATAACTTCGTCAGTTTCTCAAATTTCAATCTAATATTTGGTAGACATATTTTCGAGACTACATACTGAGAGACGATGCAAAGAAAAATTGAATTTTTTAAATTTCACAAGGTAGAAAGGCCACTAGAAAGGCAACTTAATGTTTCACGTCCAGTTATACTTGCATTTGGTACATTTCAGCAGGCTATAACTTCGTCAGTTTCTCAAATTTCAATCTAATATTTGGTAGACATATTTTCGAGACTACATACTGAGAGACGATGCAAAGAAAAATTGAATTTTTTAAATTTCACAAGGTAGAAACGCCATTAGAAAGGCAACTTAAAGTTTCACGTCCAGTTATACTTGCATTTGGTACACTTCAGCAGGCTATAACTTCGTCAGTTTCTCAAATTTCAATCTAATATTTGGTAGACATATTTTCGAGACTACATACTGAGAGACGATGCAAAGAAAAATTCAATTTTTTAAATTTCACAAGGTAGAAACGCCATTAGAAAGGCAACTTAATGTTTCACGTCCAGTTATACTTGCATTTGGTACACTTCAGCAGGCTATAACTTCGTCAGTTTCTCAAATTTCAATCTAATATTTGGTAGACATATTTTCGAGACTACATACTGAGAGACGATGCAAAGAAAAATTGAATTTTTTAAATCCCACAAGGTAGAAACGCCATTAGAAAGGCAACTTACGAAAGAACAGTGTTACTCTAGTAAGTCAGAAGGTCGTTGAACTTTTAGGTATACAGTGGAATTGATTAGGCGGAAGTAGCATATTGTGGATAATATATCTGCATATATAAACAGTTTTTCATTCCACCTTTATTCTTGGAACGAAAATGGCGTAGAATTCGGGATATTGAAGGTGATTAAGAGTGAGAAAATGGAAACTTGAAATTTATGTGGACGCATATATCTGTATTTCAGGGATCGTGGTGTCGAATGCAGGGGCTGGTGGTGTACCAGTTGGAATCGCGGTGGCCAGGCAGAGATTGCAGCATCAGGAAACCTCGACTTCGATGCGCAATGTCTCCCTGAGTCATCACACCTCGCATCATGCGAGCTATCATCACTTCCAGCCTGACAATCTCGGTAAGTTCTAAAATCTCAGCTATTGGACTCCTTCGATCGCCATTTTTCTTCTTTCAACCTTCATTTGGGGTCTTTTTCCATTTCAAGTTACTAGACCCTAAATAAGGTAGCTCGACAACAGTTTTAACATTGAAAATATATTAAAATATATGATAAATATTGACAAAAGCTTCAAGGTATGTAATATAAAATGACTTTTAGAACACACTCATCTATTATGCTTAAATAGCGTTTAAATAGATATTGGACAACTTTGTATTGGAGGAAATAACTTTTCCACTCTCAGAAAGTTCACTTTTCTTCCTATCTATTCCAAAATTCTAATTAAATACTATTTTAGCAAATTTAATCCGTCTTTCTTGTCTCAAATCTACAATTTGGTGCTTCATTAAAAAATTCTAATCATTACATGAGCATTCTTAAGTGTACCACTAATGAAAACTTGTAATTGAAGTTTATAAATGCAGTCAGGGACAATTGTACACATTGTACGCATGATGTGTGTAGCAATCAGAGATTTGTTAGCTAATAATCAACGTAAACATTGAAAACATCGTTCATAACACATCAAGAGATTTGCTCTGGAGATGTAGATTGTTTCTTAAATGTTTCTTGTCGTTGGAAAAAAGCGTTGTCAGAAGAAACGGTGACGCAACGAGCGCGCCTTAAGCACAACAACGCTCGTAACAATACCAACGCGCGGTTAAAACAGGTATGAAAAGTAATTAGCCTAGAATGAGTTTTTCTCGGCGAATGTAGTCGACCCTGAGCATTACTGCGTATCAAAAGCGGATAAAAGTGGCGGAGGAAAAGTTTTCCGAGGCGATTTTCCACGCAGACGTTGGCTCAAATGGTACTTGGCATTTTATCTATTATTATTTCATCGATAAACTCTCCAATTCGATCATTCCTTCGTCTGCTTTCATCCTCAATGTTTTCAATAATTTTTGTTTCTTATTATATTGAAAAGTGTATTAGTTTCTTTTATGATAGTGTTTTTAAGTTTATTTATTCTCATCTTCTGCAAAAATGGTATCTTATGATGTTCAAGTAGCAGTTTTTCAATGTTCTCAATATTAGGTCTGGGTTAGGTCTGGGTTAGGTCTGGATTAGAACTAGATTAGGTCTGGGTTAGGTCTGGATTAAGTCTGGGTTAGGTCTGAGTTAGATCTGGGTTAGGTCTGGGTTAGGTTTGGATTAAGTCTGGGTTAGGTCTGGGTTAGGTCTGGGTTAGGTCTGGGTTAGGTCTGGATTAAGTCTGGGTTAGGTCTGGAATAAGTCAGAGTTAGGTCTGGGTTTGGTCTGGATTAAGTCTGGGTTAGGTCTGGAATAAGTCAGGGTTAGGTCTGGGTTAGGTCTGAAGTAAGTCTGGGTTAGGTCTGGGTTAGGTCTGGGTTAGGTCTGGAATAAGTCAGGGTTAGGTCTGGGTTAGGTCTGGGTTAGGTCTGGATTAAGTCTGGGTTAGGTCTGGGTTAGGTCTGGATTAAGTCTGGGTTAGGTCTGGGTTAGGTCTGGATTAAGCCTGGGTTAGGTCTGGGTTAGGTCTGGGTTAGGTCTGGAATAAGTCTCAATCAAGTCAAGGTTAGGTCTGGGTTAGGTCTGGAAGAAAAATTAGATTTTCTAATTAGCAAACTCGTCTTCTTAAGACTTAATTCAGACCTAACCCAGACCTAACCCAGACTTAATTCAGACTTATTCCAGACCTAACCCAGACCTAATCTAGTTCTAATCCAGACCTAACCCAGACCTAACCCAGACCTAATCTAGACCTAATCCAGACCTAACCCAGACCTAATCTAGACCTAATCCAGACCTAACCCAGACCTAATCTAGTTCTAATCCAGACCTAACCCAGACCTAACCCAGACCTAACCCAGACCTAATCCAGATCTAATCTAGACCTAACCCAGACCTAACCCAGACCTAATCTAGTTCTAATCCAGACCTAACCCAGACCTAACCCAGACCTAATCTAGTTCTAATCCAGACCTAACCCAGACCTAACCCAGACCTAATCTAGTTCTAACCCAGACCTAACCCAGACCTAACCCAGACCTAATCCAGATCTAATCCAGACCTAATCCAGACCTAACCTAGACCTAATCTAGTTCTAATCCAGACCTAACCCAGACCTAACCCAGACCTAATCCAGATCTAATCTAGACCTAACCCAGACCTAACCCAGACCTAATCCAGATCTAATCCAGACCTAACCCAGACCTAATCTAGTTCTAATCCAGACCTAACCCAGACCTAACCCAGACCTAATCTAGTTCTAATCCAGACCTAACCCAGACCTAACCCAGACCTAACCCAGACCTAATCCAGATCTAATCTAGACCTAACCCAGACCTAACCCAGACCTAATCTAGTTCTAATCCAGACCTAACCCAGACCTAACCCAGACCTAATCTAGTTCTAATCCAGACCTAACCCAGACCTAACCCAGACCTAATCTAGACCTAATCCAGACCTAACCCAGACCTAATCTAGACCTAATCCAGACCTAACCCAGACCTAATCTAGACCTAATCCAGACCTGACCCAGACCTAATCTAGACCTAATCCAGACCTAACCCAGACCTAATCTAGACCTAATCCAGACCTGACCCAGACCTAATCTAGACCTAATCCAGACCTGACCCAGACCTAATCTAGACCTAATCCAGACCTAACCCAAACCTAACCCAAACCTAATCCAGACCTAACCCCCGTTATCAGCGATGAATTGGTCTGGGTTAGGTTTGGGTTAGGTCTGGGTCAGTTCTGGAATAAGTCTGAATTAAGTCTGGGTTAGGTCTGGGGTGTATCGTAAGAATCATCACTATAGTAAACTATCACTCATACTACATCAGCGAATGCATATGCAAACAAATATTACGTTGGAGGTTATGTTAAATTAAGCGAATGAATTTCCATAAGGACGCTTTTGCAACCTTACACTCGAGCTTCAGTAATAAAGTACAGAATAGAGGGCAATTCTTAGTTGCAAAAGTTGTTATCAAAATGGTTCTTAAACAAGTTATGTTCAATAAACTTCGTTGTAGAAATATGGAAATACAGAGTTGCAGATAGGTCCATTATTGCAAGTAGCCTTAACCTCCAAACTTATATTTTTTCGTAGAATTGTCTAAATCTTCCCAGAAATTAGCGTTTTCTTAAAAAGAAGAAATATTATTCGGATATGAGGTATTCATTTCTTAGTGTACGTTGATAATTCGATAATTGTGTAATTCAATAATAAATGAAAACACATTTTGTTGACTGCTGGGGATCTCATGATGAGGATCGGTGCTTCACCACGACACTATATTCGAACGTGAATGATAAAAACGTAGGAAGATAGATGAGAATGAAGACGACCGTTGTATCTGACACAGGAAGACAGGAATCATAGTATACACGTCACTTGTTCCTTGTCGTACAATGCTGAAATACTATCCTCGACAGAGTATTCCGTTCCATTGTTACGGGCCAGATAAAATGGCGACGCGTGCGGAGATGAAAATAGGCTCGACGGGGAGCTAACATTTGTCCTCATCGTTCGTGTATCGTAATTATTCGTCTTTGTTAACGATATTCGACGTTTTTGGAAGACCATTGTATTAATTTTGTCTCCCTGGAATATATTTTACCGCGAAATTAGCGAATTCTGTGTAATAATGTATCGGAAACGGAAGACATCGAACAAGACTGCTTCGAAACGAGTTATTTTAGTTAGAATGGGCCAAAATATCACATGAAACGACTGAAAAACTAGTGGCGACTTTAAGAATATTTTATGGAACTATTTGGTAATCTTGAGATAAAAAACTTTAGTATAAATTGCTGTTTGTTGCAAAATGAATATTTGTATGGAAAACTAGTTTGGATGACCGAAGTATAATAAGGAAACTGAAATCTAATTGCATCGGTGAAATGGTGAAATGGCGTGTCGATATTGTATCCGAAATTAATTATTCGTGGCATGAATCCCTGTGCACTAAATAATCCAACAAGGTTCCCGATAATCACATCTCGAAACTAAAGATCAAGCAAAATTGAATAATATTCAATTAAAAGAAAGATTCAATTAAATAATATTCAATTAAAAGAAACATTCAATCAAATAATATTCAATTAAAAAAAAAGATAAAAAGAAGCTTCCAATTAAAAAGAAAAAGATTGTCGTGGTCACGGAGTTGCGAAAGATCGCGTGCTCTACGAGCCTGAAACGAACGTAATTCCGTTTCCACAGAGAGTCTAAAATGGATTTTATTGGGCCTTGTTGTTAGGTTCGAGCACGGCCATGGCGGTAGGCGGTGCGACCCTGGTGCATTGCGGTGGGCCTGGAGGGGAGGACCGTCCGGCCCACCTCGCCATTCCCTCGGGAGCCCTGGCGCCCTCACTGAACGCTGCTCTCGGCTCCAGCCTGAATTCCAGCCTGAATTCCACGCTAGGTGGCATCGGCGCCGCAGCGAGCGCCGCCACCGCCGCCACAGCCGCCACAGCCGCATGGCCGCCCACATTATGGCAGTACCCAGCGGCGGCCGCGGCCGCTGCAGCTGCAGCTGCAGGTGAGACCGAGCCTGTTTTCATTCTATCTTTTCTGCCTTTTCCGTTCTCCCCCCCCCCATGGAACCAATTTTCAAAGCTCAAACGCGAGCCATTTTTCCCCCGTTCTTCGATACGTACAAATTTCGTACACTCGACTGATCTCAAGCACTTTGATTTGGCAATTACGTACAACAGAATTCAACCATTTCAATGACTTCGTCGTTGAAGGTTATATGGACCGTTTATTTTAACACATTACCGACCGATAGCCTATTAATCGACTGTTTTACCGGCCAACGCTTACCGACCGATAGCCTATTAGTCAACTGTTTTATCGGTCGACGTTTACCGACCGATAGCCGATTAATCAACCGCTACCGGTCGGTAAATTGTTAATAAAGAAACGATGACAAACTTAATTTCATGGAATTTGTATAAATGAATTTTTCAGTTAAAAATATTCTAATTTTTGTGAAAATTCAGGACTTTGAATAGCAAATGAGTCATTTCTTGATTATTGTTCAAAAACATTGTTGAAAATCTGAAGAACTTATTAAAGAAATGATGACAAACTTAATTTCATGGAATTTGTATAAATGAATTTGTTAATTAAAAGTATTTGTTCTATTCTTTGTGAAAATTCAGTACTTTGAAAAGCAAATGAATCTTTTCTTGATTATTGTTCAAAAATATTGTTGAAAATCTGAAGATCTTAACACTTTACCGACCGATAGCCTATTAATCGACTGTTTTACCGGCTAACGCTTACCGACTGATAGCGTTTACCGACCGATAGCCGATTAATCAACCACTACCGGTCGGTAAAGTGTTAATAAAGAAATGATGACAAACTTAATTTCATGGAATTTGTATAAATGAATTTTTCAGTTAAAAATATTCTAATTTTTGTGAAAATTCAGGACTTTGAAAAGCAAATGAGTCATTTCTTGATTATTGTTCGAAAACATTGTTGAAAATCTGAAGATCTTATTAAAGAAATGATGACAAACTTAATTTCATGGAATTTGTATAAATGAATTTGTTAATTAAAAGTATTTGTTCTATTCTTTGTGAAAATTCAGTACTTTGAAAAGCAAATGAATCTTTTCTTGATTATTGTTCAAAAATATTGTTGAAAATCTGAAGATCTTAACACTTTACCGACCGATAGCCTATTAATCGACTGTTTTACCGGCTAACGCTTACCGACTGATAGCGTTTACCGACCGATAGTCGATTAATCAACCGCTACCGGTCGGTAAAGTGTTAATAAAGAAACGATGGCAAACTTAATTTCATGGAATTTGTATAAATGAATTTTTCAGTTAAAAATATTCTAATTTTTGTGAAAATTCAGGACTTTGAAAAGCAAATGAGTCATTTCTTGATTATTGTTCGAAAACATTGTTGAAAATCTGAAGATCTTATTAAAGAAATGATGACAAACTTAATTTCATGGAATTTGTATAAATGAATTTGTTAATTAAAAGTATTTGTTCTATTCTTTGTGAAAATTCAGTACTTTGAAAAGCAAATGAATCTTTTCTTGATTATTGTTCAAAAATATTGTTGAAAATCTGAAGATCTTAACACTTTACCGACCGATAGCCTATTAATCGACTGTTTTACCGGCTAACGCTTACCGACTGATAGCGTTTACCGACCGATAGCCGATTAATCAACCGCTACCGGTCGGTATAGTGTTAATAAAGAAATAATGACAAACTTAATTTCATGGAATTTGTATAAATGAATTTTTCAGTTAAAAATATTCTAATTTTTGTGAAAATTCAGGACTTTGAAAAGCAAATGAGTCATTTCTTGATTATTGTTCGAAAACATTGTTGGAAATCTGAAGATCTTATTAACGAAATGATGACAAACTTAATTTCATGGAATTTGTATAAATGAATTTGTTAATTAAAAGTATTTGTTCTATTCTTTGTGAAAATTCTGGACTTTGAAAAGCAAATGAATCTTTTCTTGATTATTGTTCAAAAACATTGTTGAAAATCTGAAGATATTAACACATTACCGACCGATAGCCTATTAATCGACTGTTTTACCGGCTAACGCTTACCGACTGATAGCGTTTACCGACCGATAGCCGATTAATCAACCGCTACCGGTCGGTATAGTGTTAATAAAGAAATAATGACAAACTTAATTTCATGGAATTTGTATAAATGAATTTTTCAGTTAAAAATATTCTAATTTTTGTGTAAATTCAGGACTTTGAAAAGCAAATGAGTCATTTCTTGATTATTGTTCGAAAACATTGTTGAAAATCTGAAGATCTTATTAAAGAAATGATGACAAACTTAATTTCATGGAATTTGTATAAATGAATTTGTTAATTAAAAGTATTTGTTCTATTCTTTGTGAGAATTCAGGACTTTGAAAAGCAAATGAATCTTTTCTCGATTATTGTTCAAAAATATTGTTGAAAATTTGAAAATCTGAACAATTTTACTGTTGAAAAACACTGACATAGGTTATGTTGTGTTTACGAGTACCCATGAAACAAAAGAATGAAATTAAACGAGATCTATATGACACGTAATCTCTTACAAATTAATATCTCAATAATAGGTGGAAATATTGCAAAATGGCGGCTTAATTTTCGGGATGGCAAATAATCTAGAAACCATTTTTTCTTCGAAAAATAAAAAAAACAGAAACTCAAACCAATATCTCAATAATAGGTGGAAATATTGCAAAATGGCGGCTTAATTTTCGGGATGGCAAATAATCTAGAAACCATTTTTTCTTCGGGGAAAAAAAAAAACAGAAACTCAAACCAATATTGACACAGTATTACTAATTTAAATTATCAAAAATATTAATTCTAAACATTTCTAAACAACTTTAACGTTGATATTATATTACAATATTAAAAATAAGTTGAATTGTTTATTATCGAAGAAGTCGAACAGGTTAGAACGTTTCAGACTAATCGATCATTTTGAAATATATTTTTATAAAAATTCTCTGAATCAAACAACACTATAACTAATATTGTTAATAACTAATTAAACCATTTCAGACTAATCTATCATTTTTATCAAATTACTTTTTCTAATTTTTTTTTATAAAATTCTCTGAATCAAAAAACACTATAACTAATATTGTTAATAACTAATTAAACCATTTCAGACTAATCTATCATTTTTATAAAATTTCTTTCCGAAATATTTTTTTATAAAATTCTCTGAATCAAACAACACTATAACTAATATTGTTAATAACTAATTAAACCATTTCAGACTAATCTATCATTTTTATAAAATTTCTTTCTGAAATATTTTTTTATAAAAACTGTCTGAGTCAAAAACAACACTATAATTGATAATTAATAACTAATTAAAACGTTTCAGACTGATCGATCATTTCGAAATATATTTTTATAAAAATTCTCTGAATCAAACAACACTATAACTAATATTGTTAATAACTAATTAAACCATTTCAGACTAATCTATCATTTTTATCAAATTACTTTTTCAAATTTTTTTTTATAAAATTCTCTGAATCAAAAAACACTATAATTAATATTACTAATAACTAGACTGCGGATTTTCATGCAAATTCATATATTTATTAATAGAATTGATAAAATAAGAGCTTTCTAGAGGGTTGTTTCAACCCCTAAATACAATAATTCTTATCTTACTTGAAGTATTTGTTATATTTTTGCATATTAAGTGCATGCTATAGTTTTTTGACAATCTAAGTTTCCCATAAATGCATAAATATCCGCAGTCTACTAATAACTAATTAAACCATTTCAGACTAATCTATCATTTCTATAAAATTACTCTCTGAAATATTTTTTATAAAAATTGTCTGAGTCAAAAACAACACTATAATTGACAATTAATAACTAATTAAAACGTGTTACCACCATGGGGCGTGGTGGTAAAGTAGTCGACTCCCACCCAGCGGGCCCAAGTTCGATTCCCCGGGACGACCATAAAAGTTTTTTCTCTTAATATAATTATAATAAAGTTTTTAATTATAAAATTCTTACATAAAAGTGATTATTAACTTCCAAATAAAGTGTCTATGTATTAAAATTAAATTAAAATTGTGTATCTATCAAAAAAAAAAAAAAAAATGTAATAACTAATTAAAACGTGTTTCCAGACTAAAATCGATCATTTCGAAATATATGTTTATGAAATTCTCTGGTCCAAAAAACAACACTATAATTGATGTTGTTAATAATCTAATTAAACCACTTCAGACTAATCTATCATTTTTATAAAATTTCTTTCCGAAATATTTGTTACAAAATTACTTTTTGAAATATTTGTTACAAAATTACTTTTTGAAATATTTGTTACGAAATTACATTTTGAAATATTTTTTATAAAAATTGTCTGAATCAAACGACACCATAACTGATAACTAATAACTATAGCTAATAACTTAAATTAATACCCAATATTAAAGTATTGTTTTGATGATAAATTACTGGGGAATTGAACCTGATTAATGCTAATGGTATGAAAATACTATCAGGAAATTGAAATCGCCAAGGTTAGTATAAAGTAGTATAAACAACATAAATGTTTGCCTTCCAACGGATCACAAAAACAAAACTAATATCACGTTTAAATATTACGTCGTAAATACGTTGCTTCTGTGACCATTAAACCATTCGCCGACATTTTTGCGACATACCCTCTCTGGCCATTGAGACATTTGACTTGTATCCGGTTACATGGTACCCGTATGTATCCATTTGGGGATAAATACCATCGTGCGGTGTAAATAGAGACTTTCGTCGAATGTGACAAGCCCCAGTGTTTGACGAGCGTAGCTCGGATATCTCGTTTATCTAAAGAATTACTATAGAAATGACGAAAGAATATCGATCGCGTTGTGTTGTCGAAAACGAGAGAAAGTAGCAACGAGAAACACGAGAAGCGGTACGAGTGTCATTTATTTGCCAGAAGTTGATACTGTGGGAGAAAAGAGCGGCGTACAATCGTACATTACCAATAATCTTCGATAT